GTATCGAGTATATAGGGTTGTTTGTTGTTTTGGTTGTGTTGGGTGGTGACCGTAGCGACCATTTGCCGCTAACACTAGATACATCATTCCAAGACCCGAAGGACCTTGAATTTCGGACCAAGTCTTTCCACGCCTCTATTCGAAGCCTTCCAACTCAAGGTTTTAGAGTCTTGAGGTTACCGAATATACACTATTTTGTGTGTTAGATAGTTGTTAGGATAATTTTAGGTTTAGGTTTATTGTTCACACCTTCTCAACGTACGTACATATTTGTACTACCGTACCATACTAATTTAACTACCTATGTCTGTATCGGGTAATCGTAAATTCAGGCCGAAAAGAAACCTTTAATTAAATTAATTCAAAGTTTTACAATAATTTCCATTTTTAATAAAGATCAAGAATATTTATATTTAAATTCGATTTCCAAAAAAAAAAAACAAAAAAAAAAAACGTTATTTAATGACAATTTTAAAATCAAATTATACACTATAGTCATTTCACCTGACCTTCATGATTATGCTGATAAATTTATCAGCTTAGCTGGTTAGAACTTTAGAATTTTACGTAAAAATCTTACTCGTATCTCATCGTTATGTTCGTTCATTTTCCACATCGGAAATTTAGGAATTTATAACGATACAGAGATAAATAGCCTCTGTAATAAATTTGAAATAACGTCGAAGTTGAATTCGATTGAATTAATAATTGGCCAATTTTTATCGGTTTCCCAAAATTTATGAAACAGCTACGACAAATTTGCACTATACATGTATAAGTAATACCCAGATCATCCTGCAATCGTGAAACATAAATTTCAGAATTTACCGACAGTCTTTACATCTCTTTTAGCTTATAATTTATTTATTTAAACATTTACAGTCAGACCTCCCTATATGCATATTCCCTAACTGCTAAATGCATGGCCCCAACACCTATGACACTTATAGATTTTTACCTCCCTAAATGCAATACAAGGTTTTTTGGCTGTTCCACGGCCATGTATTTAGAGAAATCTGACTGTAGTTTACATCAAGATTGTCGTTCTCATCCATGATGAATTTAAAATATCATTGCCTTTAACTGTTACAATGAATAATGGGTATAAAATCCAAATTGCCATATGTTGCATAGTTTACGAAGAACCGCTATACCTGGTAAGAGGTATGCAAGTTGACAACGACTTGTATAACGGAACGAAAAAACCAAGAAGAAAACAGAAGTATGGTACGAACGAATCACGTAATCATGTGATCGATCGGAATCATAGTGTCGGGGCATAATCGAGATCGGGTACGATAGGTACCGTGATCGCCGAATGCATGAATATGATGATTATTTTGGGAAAATTAAAAGTTTAATAAATTAATAACAAAGAAATAGGTAAAGTGTAGTACGAATTGTGTAATTGTTAGAATCAAATAAAAACGAATGTAAAATAAAGAAAATGGGTTAGTCTTTTCGACCGGTAATTAAGAAAATAAAGCGTCCTCTTAAATAAATACCTACTAATTAGTGTGTGTATTGTGAGTCCCAAGTGCCAAGCGAGACCCGAATTAAAGTAAAGCCGTCTGGGCCAGATAGCAGTCACTACTAGGGTTGTAAAATTACCGTAATTTTGTGTAATTTTACGTAATTTAGTGTAAGCTTCCGAAACCAAAATTTCATGTAATTTTGATATCATGTGAATAATGTAGCCAAAATTTCACTATGCCTGGTGTGCTTTTGAATATAAAATTATAGTTCCGAACGTAGTGATGAATCTCTAATAATACTGGCAAAACTTTCATAATGTTGGTGCAATAATCATGTGCCAATCCATTATCAAATGTAATATTACATTACAATTTTGTAAGTTACAGTGTAATTTATTTGTAATTTATGTAATTTTCAACCCTAGTCACTACGGTGATTGCCTAACTCTTTGACGCCATGTTTACTACAAACTCTTAATTTATTTTCTGAAAAATTATGCCGATTAAATTTAAAAAAATTAAAGGAATAGGAATGGGTGGTGGCATTACAACTCCTAAAGGCAAAACTACACAAGATGTCATTTTATGGGCCTGGAGATTAAGATTCTTATTTTGATTTTATTTCATTTTTTTATCTTTACTAAAATTTATTATTTTTATTTTTCTTATATTTATATATAGTCTGAAAATACAGACATATTGATACAGCACCTCAATACGGTAATGAAGACATCAGAATCAGTATTCTTAAAAGGTAAACATTTACAAGTAAAATGACTTATTCGTAGGAATCATACCCGGGCCGTCCATCTACAAATAACCATGTATCTATCCTAACCTAATTTTATGGTGAACATATAAGCCATCTTTTTATTCTATGAAAATAAATTATTACAGATCAAGATTATGAATCAGCTATCAAATCCGTCGAAAGTTCTTTATCAAAATTTCAAACATCTCATGCCGATTTAATGCTTATACATAGCCCTAAACCTGATCCTCAAAAACGTATTGAAACTTATAATGCCTTACAAAAATTAGTTAGGCAAAAAATGGTTAGAAGTATTTGTGTCTCAAATTACGATGTAAATCATTTAGAAGAATTAATAAGAATTAATGGATATTCAAATTACGATGTAAATCATTTATATTTTATTATTTTTTTTAAAAAAAATAACATTTAATATTTTAGGTTCATCCATGGAATAATAGAAAAGAAATTGTATCATATTGTACAAAACATAATATCGTCATAGAAACATATTGTCCACTTACAAAAGGAAAAAATTAAATGATCATATTCTTGTTGATATTGCTAAGAAATATAACAAAACTTCTGCTCAAATTTTGATTCATTAAGTCTTATTTTATGTTTTTAAAATTTTTAGAACCATTTATTTTACCACTAATACTTATTAAATTTAAACAAAGCCTTCAAAATAATTTTGTTGTGATATCAAAAGCGTAAATAAAGAGCATATAATTATTAATAGTACTAAAGTGTATGATTTTGTAATTGAAAAAATTATATGAAAACTCTTGATAATTTAGATGACAATTTTAGAGCTTCTGGTCATATTTAAATATTTTTACATTTGAATTTTTATATTTCATTATCTTTATTTTTTATTTATTTTATATTATATTATATTATTTTTTTAAAAAATTCAGTAGAATTAAAATTGTATTTGAGTGCTGTCAATAGAAAACCTGTCATCGGGCTTTCAATGTTCAGTTGGCTTTCTGCATGTTATCTATGGGAAATCTATTCCGATGATAGATTGATTGTCCATGACGACATGCAGAAAGCCAACTGGACATTGAAAGCCCGATGACAGGTTTTTTATTAACAGCACTCGTATGAAGTGAACTTGAAATATTTTAACTGTTTACATTTGAAGCAAAAAAGGTCACTTATAATACGGTCAACTTTATCTCTACCCAATAGGTCTGGGAAATTGTACAAATTTATAACGTTCGTTATAATTGCAGTAAGCTTTTATTCAAAGGGTCAATTGTATTTTGAAATTTTTAATCAATATTAATTGTAAGTTTGAATAAAATTTCATTTTTAGGAAAATAATAATTTTAAAGCAATTAAAATATCGAATAAAAATTTCTACAAAAAATTCTTCACTTGAGTGACTATTACACAACGATAATATTGAAACATATTTTTTATTATAATTATAATCATCAATGTTGCCTGTTTTTTTTTTTTTTTTTTTTTTTGAGTCTTGTGATTATGCAATTCACTTTACCAATTGGAGATAAGTCCGGTCTTTTGACTTATGTATATTCTTGTTATTATCAAAAAGTAAATTATTTACCAAAAATACAGAATTAAAAATTATTTCGGACTTTTGATTACGCCTTATTTGGCGCTTGGCGCTCATTAGATAATCGGATTTCCGTATCATTTATTTATTTACTGAATTTGGGAAAAATCTATAAATAAATGTTGCGGAGGATCGTGTGATTTCCATTAGTTAATCACCTTAATCCTAACCAATCAGATGCATTAATTAATTTCAGCATCATCCGATTTCATGATATCATCTGATGTTAGAAAATCATTGTTTTGAATTTTATATTACCAGAAAAGGAAATTTTCCCAAGTAATTTTTAATAAAGTCATTGAAATGTATTTATACTTTACTAAGGATATTCCAAATATTATGAGCAGCCTCATTTTTTTATATTATTAGAAAAGGAAATATTCCTTAGTGATTTTTAATAAAATTATTGAAATGTTTTTAATTTTACTAAAGAAATTCAAAATATTATGAGCAATCTCATTTTTGAATCATTATACCGACAAAGTAAATTGGGTATTTTACGCCCTATTTTAGATTTTTTTTTTTTGATATAAATTCACCTGGTATTTGATCCTCTTCTCAAATCACCCGCTGAATTTGGTCCTTGGTTTTCTTAAGCATCTTCTCAGATTACCAGCTAAATTTTGGTCTTTGGTTTTTTTGATTAACTACTTTATCCGGTATGGGTTTATTATTTGTAATTATGCAAGATCTTAATCCACAGTATATTTAACTCTCCTTTTCAAATTACTATAGTCTTTTTAAGATGAAATATTATCTTCTTATTCTTGTTCTTTTTTTTGTCGTCACCTCGACAAGCGGTTTCATAAAGCGTGATACCGAAACCTTTGTACTTAACGGACCGAAAGTTTGTGGTAATGCAACATGTGGTATAGTCACAGCCGACTCTTTGTCAGTTGGTTCTCATACAACAAAAGCTTGTATGTGTTCAGCATGCAATGCCACATGTGACGGTAAATCGGCAGTTACTTATAGTTGCATTTGTGAAGTATAATCAATCAGTTATTTTATTAATTAATAATTATTATTAATTAATTGTTTAAAGTATGTTGTTAGTTGATCTGTATCTTGATTAACTACTTATTATATAATTATCTTAATTATTCTTGTTATCTATTACTGTATTATTAACTAGTATATGATCATATGGCAGCTTCGCCGCCTATTTCTAATTAATAAATTAAATTTATTGTTCTAAGTATTTAAAATACATTCACCTTCATGAATATTTACTACGGATAATGAATATAAAAAACATTTATTGTCTGCTTTTCATTCGCATGTTGACCCATGAAAGACAGTATATTATTTACATTATTTTCAAATTTTAGCTTTTGATTATTTATTATTTCCAACATAATATATATTAAGAAAGAATCTCATAATTGGACAAGAATTAATCATTACATTGATCGGTTAGTTCGAAAAACACAATGCAAAGAAATTTAAAGATATTATGAATGGAGCTCTTTAGCAAAACTGTAAATACAGTATAAAATACCTGTTTTCAATGCGGGATATAGAGATTATGTACGGTACGATTAATAATTTGTACTGTACGGTATGGTACAATATTATATTACTATATATTTATTTAGCTGTACAATGCAACAAGATAAAAGCGTCGCGTTAATGCAGGAGCTTTGAGAATTAGTTAAGAATAATTCATGGGAGGGAGAAAAATTGCATGGAAAAGAATCTGAAGATTTTTTGAATGATTATATTAGAACAATAAGCATATATAAATACATAATATAAAGCATGACATAAGAGCACAGAAATTTTAATAAAGAAATTGCTAATAAATTTTTCATGAAAAAATAAAGTTCTTTTTTGTCAGTCAGTCATAATTGTGGAACTATAAAAATACAATTTATATCACGAATCTTTCGGTCAATATTGTAAATTATTTTTAAATTTACAAATGATACGTGTTAATTTTAAAGCAGTGTTATGATAAGATTAGAGTTTGGATCCAGGTTTATATTTTTTTTCAGTATACGCTAAAAATTGATAAAAACCGGTTAATAGTATTAACCTTAATTTATCTATAAAATATCAAGCAACGGATAACTAATAAGTAAATCATGTGTGCATAGTAATGTTACACTCAAACCACCTCTTAGTCGGTTCGATGCAACTGGGGTTCGATAACAAATAAATGCTTGGCTTCAACCTT